TATTAATGCATTACTTGGGTGGAATTCAAATTCTGATATTTATGGTAAACCCCTTTATAATGAAACGGGCTGAGAATCAGCTCTCTTGCTCCTTAAATTTGGAAGGCTCTAGATGCCTTTGGAATGGCTCTCCATGAAATATGAGCCTTGCCGGCTTTATATTTACACCCATAAATAAGAAATAAGTACTTTGGGTTGGAGGAGAAATAATTAAGAATATTTGTGTAGATAATAAAGAGGCAATGGTCCAGTTTGGTGAACTGTGTGCTTGGGAAATGCCAGGGGCTGCTGGAACCTGGATGAGAGGTGTGGGAAAGAGCAGGACAAGGGGACAGTGAGTGTGTAGGACTTCTGGGGACAGCAGGGAGGGGGCCCTGCAGGGGTACCAGATGCACAAAATATAAGTCTTGGAATCTGGTTTGGAACTCAGCTCATCCCCATGAACCAGATCTCTTGGATAGCAGTGGTTGGACTTTTCTGGAACTCAGGCTTCTCATCTGTAAGATGGAGCTATTATGTCAGAAAATCATCATGAAGAAAAACAATGTCAACTTAAAATTTCCAAAAGTAACTCACAGATCTGGGTGCATGAGGCCTAAGGAGAGAACCTGGCTAGGTCAAAAGTGTTAGGGTAGGGTTGAAAGTATACACACACACACACATGCATACATATAGATATATAGATATTTATCTTTGGGGAAATGTTTGTATATAATTACTGGTGGTTAAGCAAGAGATAGAATACACCAGGTAGGTATGAATAGTGAAGTTAAGTTGGAAATTTGAAAACTAGGGTCTCAGAGCACAATGAATAAGTACTGCTTACCCACCCAGGCTCCTCTGCCCTTGTCATCAGCTAAAGGATTTGGGTGAACCTCTACATTTCCATGCATAGTATGAACTATAAATCATAACCTGTAATAACACACAAGAATCTCAGGGATGATCTTGTTGAGGGATGATTAGTAACTTTTACTGCATATGATAACTGTGTGGTGGTGGCTTCCAAAAGTGCTGAATTGGAAAAAACTGAGTGACAGTCATGTTTAGCAGAAAGGAGCCCATGATTGATGAGCACTGCCTACCTAGGTTGATGAGTGGGAAGTAATGGTGCTGTCATTCACATCCTCTTGGCTTTTTGTTTGTATGAGGAAGCCAAAGCTTAGTTTAATCAAATCACGTGACCGAGCTCAAATAGTTAAAGGTGAGCCATAACTGAAAGTAAGTCTTTGGCCTCTAATCCAAATGCCACTAGGGAACAAAACATTGCCCTGTCACCATGCATAGCCTCATTGTTCCTACAGAACTTCCAGGTTCTGACTTCTCAGAGTACTAATCCAAGTGGCCAAAGTATTGCACCTCAATGTGTCTGGTGGCCTACATAGAGAGCTAAGATCAATAAACTGTATGTATCAAGGACTATGGTATTGATAATGACCAGGAACTCATTTATTTAGCATTTTCTGTTCCCCAGACCCTGGGCCATGTGTTTGATATCTATTATCTCATTTAATCTCAACAAAGTTATCAGTAAGTGATAATCTCTCCATCAGGCACATGAAAAAAAGTGGGGTCCAGATAGATTAAGAAACTCTGTAGCATCACAAGCTAGCAAATGAGGAAGTTCCACAGAGCCCAAAGCCTGTGTTTTGAGCACTGGACCTGTATGGATACATCTCCTATGGACTAGTGAATGATACCATTTACAGGGATAATCCAGACGCATGTCTATCACAAATAAAGATTTGTGTTTAAAGTATGAAGAGAAGCTTAGGAAAAATGAACATTGATGGATAGTCAACATTTAGACAACTGGGTAGAAGTCTTTCCATCTAGTATTTGTCTATTCCATCTAACACAGGAATTCTCTATTTCTGTGTATACTGTCGTGACTTTAGCACGAGTTGGATAGACTTGGGTAGATCATTCATCAGTTCTTCATATATGGGCGTTGTAGGCAAGAATTAATCTCACAATGATTGGTAAAAATGAAATTTCTGACCAGTGCACCTACTATGTTAATCTGCCATAGGGTAAAGTTTCCCGACTTAAGAGGAAAGTGATCCCAGAGAAAGACTTTGAATCTCTCAGTTTAATTCTAAGTGGAACATGAGTGGGCAGACTCATTCAGGGAGATGCAGGGAACTCTCTCCCTACATCTATGGACCTCTGTGAAGACACAATTACCTAGGAGCTGGTGAGTGGCTTTGTATTGAGCTTCTTTCCTGGGTAGAGAAGGCAGAAGGCCAGATCATTGTATTTGCCCAAACAGTGCATTGTATTTCCCCAGAGAGCTCAGTTCTTAGAATCAGCTCCAAATTAATTCATGTATCAGTCTTATCTTCTGGCTTCATACTGGTTTTAAGTAATCATGTTATAGGGTATTACCTTAACTTTTAGGTTAACTATCAAATAAAAATAAAAATTAATAAATGGAGGAGAGGAAAGTGTCTTTGCCTGAAACTCATTAGAACTGGTGGGGGCAGGGAAAGAGAGCTCTGTCTCAGCCCAAGTGATTCCTGCCTGAGCAGTGAGTTGCCCTCTTCCTAGACTTGATGTGATCTGCAGCCCCAGGTGGGATCATCTAGAAGGGAGCTCTGAAAATTCTACAATCCAGGGTAAGATCTGTGCTCAGTGACTGGGAGTGCTCCTTAGGAGAGGAACGCTGCCTTTGCCTTTTCACTTCCCAGCTCCTCCTTCCTGTCTTCATTCAAAGTGCTTTCCTTTTGATCAAAATGAAATCCAGAGGAGGGAGGGCAAATATATAAAGATTATTTCCCTGGGTTACTTTGACCAGGACTTTTTGCTGGCTTTTTCTGCTTACGTACTGTTGCCTACCTACCTACCTCCTCTGCCTACCTACCTATCCCTTCCCGTATCTGGATCCTTAACACTCATCTTTTTTTACCCCATGGAAAGAAATTCTCCACTCTCCATTCACCCTGACAGCTTACTGATAGAAGCTGAATGTACTTCATGTCCCAATAGTATTTCTATTTAATTTTAGTAAAAGCACCAAAGGTAGAATTTCAGGTACCACCTACATATTCTGCTTCCCATTCTGTGATCTTTATACATTGAGGCCATCCTGAGAGTCAGAGGACGATTCCCTTAAAATGACTCCATTCCATCTGTGCATACTTATCTACAAGCCCACACAGAAAAGGTAAACAACTTGCAGGCAGTGTTGTCGCCCCATCTACACACGGGTTTATGCAGTCCATGGTCTCCAGCAGTGCCTGCTGAACCTGATCACTGCGCTCCTCTTCCGGATGGGAAGTGATCTTGCTATAGTGGACTTCACTTGGCCCACCTCAGGCTGCAGTCAGGCACCTGCCTGACTTTGGGCTCCTTAGGGGCCAGGAGCAGGAGAAGAAAGACTTGGAGCTCTATACTGCATGGGCATCATCACCTCTGGACTAGGCAGGAAGAAAATGGTGCTCATCTCTGAGGAGTTCAAACTATGGATACCCTGCCCTTCTGTTTGAGGTTCTTCTACCTATAAGACCATCTCCAGAAAGTACTGTATTTTTTATATACCAGTTTGTCCCTTTAGAAATTATCGTGACACATGTCAAGAGCTTTCACATCGGAAAAAAAAATATGTCACATTAGCTTCCAAGTTTCTGATTGTCTAAATAACGCAGCAACTCAACATACAGCTGTCTGGCATTTTGACAGTACAATAACCCGTAATTCTTCCTGCCACTCAACCCTTCAAGGTTAGCATTTTGTAGTTTGTTCTCAAGGAGTATTCATTTAAATTTTCAAGAGCAAAGAGTTGAATGTGGCTGTCTCATACCTCTTTTTTTTGATCTTCTCTTATTTACTTGGGTGTTCTTCCCTCTTATTACATATATTTTATGGAATGCTCATGCTTATACATCAACTTTTTGGAGAAGTGGAGTGTTTCCAGCTTACTATTTCCCATTCTCCATATAATTGGGGATAGGAGTGGAAAATATCTTCCCAACTCCAGAGGTCAGCTGCCCTGCTTGCCATTTCTGAGCATTTGCCCTGCTTACCCCAAACAAGAAGAAGTCAGAGAGGATGAAATTGTTTATAACTCTTCCCTGCCTCCATTTGGAAGCCAGGTGAAGTTACTGACAGCTGCCTTCAGGGAAGGTGAAGTTGCCATTTCTAACCTTCTCTGCTGGGAAATCTACTTGCTTGGATCTTTGAGTCCAAAGGATGCCCCTGGGATACCGAGTTACCATCTTTGCCTTACCTACTGATTTTTGAATTGTCCTTACAGACTGGGCTGCAACTGGTCATTCTTGTAGGTTAGTTAGGATTCCAGAGTCCCCACTTTCATAATCTAGCTGTCATAGAAGGTTGGCCAAGTCAATAGTTACCTTTGTAAAAATTTTTCTTATTTCTAACGTGAGGTTATTAGGCTTTGTCCTATCTACCTCTATAGGTTTGTAGCTAGGTTAAGATTAAACAATAGAAATGAGTGTTTTGAGTTATTATTGTATTATTTTTATAATGTGCTATCTCTATATTAGATATGATTGTGGATTTTTTCATTTAATCTGCCTCTGGTTTATATCCCTAATCTACATTCCTGTCTATAGTGATTGCGTGGCTTATTGTGATACGTGGATCACTTTCTGAGACAAGGACAGTCACTGTAATAACATGGTTTACTTAGTGGCCTTTCTTGGACTGTGTTCCAGGACAAACATTTGGATCTTGGTCACCTGCAAGACATCTCAGGGTTTACAATTCCTGAGATGAAACTATCGCATTTTCAGCCAGTGACTTACTGGCTGACTCAGTGAATGTATCTTGTCTGGCTGGAGAAAGGCTGATAGCCCCCAGCCTGCCAACTTGTTTTTAACCCCGCCAAGTTAAGTATAATTTAAAAGCCTGACTGTGTGTATAAAAAGAATCACTGTGTTTGTTCACAGACTGTTTATGCCTTCAGAGCCATGAGAGTGATCAACATTTTACCAGCATTTGGCCTTAAAATCTCTGTAACATAATTTGCTTGCTGAGGTCTGTAGGAACTGATGCTACCGGTAGGAGAATTAACTCTCTCCTCGAGAGTTACTCTGATACATCTGGGGTGGGCTGCTGGCTGGAAATTGCAGAATGTTTGAATCTCGGTTGATGGGGAGTTTTCAGTGTGTGGAATTTCTCTGCTTGGGTGGTTTTGGTGGGGAGGAATCTGAGGTGACTGTCTCTACTTTATTAGCAGTTCGATGAGTCTCTCTTCTTCAGGATTGCTGACTTTATTTGCTATTTCTAAATGGAGGAAACTGAAGTTTGGTGTCTTCAGTTTGTATAAGATGATGCAAAGTCACAGTTCCATGCTCAAAATAGATTGGATGGGGAGAAGGACAGCTTGGCAGGGTTTACCTCAAATATTTAGGTTCTAGCAGTAATGCAGCCGCTTGAATTGTAGATTATTCTATACTTCTCAAAGTTCTTCTGCATCCATTCCTGTAGCTGATCTCAGAATAGTGCTATGAAGTAGAAGAAAACGGACTTGCTAAAGTAATAGATTTTGTCATTTTTTCATTTATGAAAATAATGCATATCTACCCTACACATTCTTGAAAATAGTGAAAATCATCAAGAAGGAAATTAAGGTTGTTTGTAATGTCCCACTTCCTACAATTAAACATTTAAAATCCTTTCTCCCACAGACTCCTTTTGGTATATCTTTACAGTATACACACTGATAGATTATATATTTTAAGTTGGAATCTTTTTATCAGTGTACTGTTTCAGGCATTTTACATAAATACTTACCCATGTTTTAAATAGTCCTCAAAACTCCAATGTCTAATAGCTAAAGAGTTGTTTTCCACTGTTAATACAAAACAAAAAATACAATGCAGTACAAAGTAAAGGATGTATTGTACTATTGCTTTGTAACAAGGTTGTTTTCACTTGTTCTCTTTTCTATTTAGTATCAAGAAGCATGTGCCAGCACATACTTTAAAAAAAATTTTTTGAACACATCTCCAATTATATCCTTAAAATGCTAAGGATGGAATAATGAGGCTATTTCTAACTACTTTTTAAAGGCTTATTATTGAAAATTATTCAAAATTCAGATGGAAAGGTAAAGGTTTTGGTCACAATTTTCAGTGGGCAAACAGAAAAAAAAAGAAACCTTTACTGAGTTGCCTCAGGGCAGACAGTGGAAGGGCTAGGTGTCCCCCAGGGTGGCATCTGTCTTTTGGGCACCTCTTTTTTTTAGCCTGAGAGGTGAGAACGGCAATGTTCCACTCTCCTGGTGGTTGGGGGTTCTTTACTCACCTCCTTTCCATGTGGTTTGTGGTCTTGCTGACCTCTACATTACGCAACGAAGAGGAAATAAATTGTTGTCCTTCCCCATGCCATGGCTCCCTACGGCTGTCTGTCTCAGTGCTATCATGTGACAGCCGAGTCACCTGCCTGCCTACTTGCATGCTTCCTTTTTTCTTTATTACAAATATTTTAGGGGACCATCTATCGAATTCCAGGCCCACTGTTGGAGGAGTGTGGAGGTGCAAAGATGTTTAAAGATAAGTCCTCTTCCTCAGAGTTAATCTGGGATTGAAACCCAAAATGCAAACGGGTAATCATGGTAAGATGATGAAAAAAATATAACTGTCTCATGACCCCACTCTTACCACTTATAAGTTTCTGAGTCTCATTTTCCTTATAGCTAGATTATAGTTATAGAAAAAATAGCTAGCATTTATTGAGCACTTATTATGTTGTTGCAAGAGGTTTATACATATTGGCTCATTAAGATTCAGAGTGTCATGAAGTAAAGGTTATTATGATCCCGCTTCTTCAGTGAGGAGCCAGGGTTCCCAGCTCCATGGACAGACGGTAGAACCACGAACCTGGGTGACTCCAGATCCTGCTCTTTTGAGACTACTCTATCCCCTGCACTTTCCTTGACTTTCTTCTTGACTCTGTGTTTCTAGCTTCTTTGGCTAAGTGTAGGATCCTTGTCTTACATTATACCTGAAACAGGACAACACTCGTAGTGTAATCTGGAGTTTGTTGTCATTGGTCAGGGAGGGCTGAATCTCCCTTGAGTAGATTGCTTCTCAAGAACACTGGTGCCCAGGACCCTGGTCATTTCCCTACAGGTCTTCAGAACACCACAGAAGTGGGGAGCTATAGGGCTGGGAAAGACCTAAAGGGAAAAGCTCTTCTCTCAACCACTCTTAGTTGTACCCGCACCAGCTTCTGCAACATCAGCTCCCTGAGGTCACTGTAGTCCAGGCTGGTTTTGCAGTAGTGACCAAAACAGCCATGACCTCTTCTCTTGGGAACCAACGTCACAACCCAGAAGGCTGGGAAATATTGTGTCACATAGCTGGCAGCGTTGCTGGCGAGAAAGCAGTAAGGGTGAAAATAGTTCTGGGCTGAAATGCATCGTCCCTCCTGACTTCTAGGGCCAGTCAGTTCTGGCACAAAGAGTCCCTTCTCTGCTGTGGGCAGCTCATGTCCCTGAGCCTTGCAAGTCCAGAATTAGTAGTAGAAAGCTTTTGTCCAGAGCACTTATCTCGGGACTGGGGTTTAGCATTGTCATAGTACCTGATTTATCAAAAACAAGAAACAAAAGAAGACAAAACACCTTTGTCATAATGGAGGAAAGAAAAAGAAAAAAAGAGCTAGGTTTTAGATTGGTTGTGAATTATTTTTTCTCCTATTGAGATTTATAGTAAGCCAGAATATCTGGTTCTTAGATTGGTCTGAATGAAAAGAATCTATATATGTATACATGCGTGCTTGAACAATGTCAGACTTCCACTGTATCTCCAGTTCCTCTAAGTCTCCGATCTAGGGACTTCTATAGCTTGATCCAGCAAGAACAGGCATTGCTTCAGTATTCATTTCAGTGGCATTGACAATACTGACAATATAATTGACCTAAAAAGTTCTGGATTTCCTGTTAATGCACTTTAGAAATGTACATCAACTACCAAAAAAAAAAAAAAAAAAATCATTTCTATCTACGTTTCCCTTGATTTCCATTTTCAAGAGAGAGGCTTCATCATTATTATTCTATTTGAATAGCACTGATATCGTGAAGGATGGAAGGAGATTTCTATTGTATGCGGGAGTACTTTATTTCGATATTTTCTTTGTCTGATTATACATGATAAACACACATTAGTGACATTTTGTGCATGTTTGGAAGATAAATGGGGATATCTCTTTAAACCATTCCTGACACTTGCTAACCTGTGAGCTTAATGGCATTTTCTCTTTGATTCAATAATTTGTCTGTCAAAAAAAAGCTGGGCTGACATTCTCCTTGTTGTGGGATTGAAATGGAAAGAAATCTCTTCTCTTGAAGATAATTTTTTTTTAAATTGAAGGGAACATTTTAGGATAAAAATGTTTTTGAAATTATTTGGGGTTTTGGTGGTGGAGGTGGGGGCAGGGGCCGGGAGGGTGGTGCTAATGAATGCTACAACCCTGATATTATATACGTGGCAAGTGATAAAAGCAAGCCCACTACCTCTTTCCAAAAGCCTTCTCAAAATAATTAGGGTATGTGTGAAATCTTGCAGATGAAGATGGCCTCTCCTTCATCTTGTTCTTGTGAGAGGCTGTTTTTCTCTCTTTTTTGGAGGCATTTGGGCTGGGTGTGTATCTGGATGCACTTAGAGATGGTTCTGATTCCATCTATCTGCCACGGTTCCTTCTTTCCTCCTTCTGTGGGAAGGAGTGAGAGAGAATTCTGCCCCTTCTGGCATTATCTTGTTAGGGCTGTGAGTCTAGGCAGCCATTTTTTCTTTGGTGATGATGAATGTCAAAGGTGAAGCTGGAGTTTAGGGGACCAATGGGAGGTGGGAGTGGGGCTTAGAGCTCTTGAGGGAGCCTTTTGTGTTTGAGGTAAAGGTAGCTAAGCCAATTGGTCAAGAGGCCATTTCAAAGCCATTTCATGTGATCCCACGATGCAGTACTGACCCTCCTAGCTCAGACCGCTCTCAACCCTGCATCAGAGGGCCTCTTGGACATCTGATTACATGAAGTTGATGGGAGGAGGTGGGCTGTGGCAGCAGAGAGGAGAGGATGCTTGGTGTTCAGAGCCTGTCCCCTTGTCCACCCCAACAGCCCCTTCCAATGACCCTATTTTCTTATTTGACTGCTCCTGTATGTTTATTGTAATGGAAGATGTTTTCATTGAAACAACTTTGAATGGGCATATGTATTCTGTTTTAAAAATTGAGAAGTTCTTACATAGGAACGGGGAAGCAGGGATGATGGTGGGAGAGCATTTTGGCTCTGGATCAAGATGGCTGCGGTGAGTGGAAAGACTCTGATTCCCTTCCTCTTGTCTTTTTCCTAATGTTTAGGGAGAGTTTTGTAGGTCTCAGCAACAGCTGTAACTGAATTTGTATTTTGTGAATTAGACAGGAGATGAGTTCAGGGGCGACTGTGGAGGTTTTGTCCCTCTTCCCCTTTTTGTATAATAATGTGAAAAAAACGAAGATTTGGGAAAAATACAGTGTCATCAGGCTCCCTTATATTCAGTCACCCAGCAGATTTTACCCAGTGTCTATTAGACACTAGACACAGGCCCAAGTCCTAGGAGCACATCCTGGTCTTCCAACTTGCAAAAGTGGAGCTGGTGATAAAAGCTGGGTTTCTTGACTGCTGATCTGATGCTTTTCCGACCTTTCACGCTACCTCCCTACAGACTGCTGTATGTGCTGGAGGATCTCAAATCCTTTTCCACGGTGTGGTTGTTTGTCCTTGTTGCATCCTGTGTCCATTTTGTCCTGGGATAGTCCTGTCTAGAGACCTGGGCTGGTACTTTCATGGTGAGTTATGCTTGCAAAGAACAGTCAACTCCCAGGGACAGACAGGAAGTCACTAGCCATCACACATGTTTCCCCTGTGGGACTTCACACCAGTAAGTACAGTTGCTTCTCAAAATTTCTCATCCTAAGCACTTTCACATCGCAGACCTCATCACATAACAAACACATCAAACAAACAAAAATGACCCCCCCTTTCACAGTAAATATGATTTGTGAAGTTTCCATATGAAATC